TGGGGGGCGGGCGCCGCTGCCTCCGGCGTCCGGGCGCTGCGGCCACCCGCCCTGCCTTCCCCGCCTTCTGGAGCCGGCAGTAACTGTCTCGCCCAGAAGACGAAGCATCCGATTTGAGATGTGCAGAAAAATTCTTCCACCGGGAAAGCCAGCCCCAGCTGAGGGACAGGAAAGACGTGTGTAACAAAAACAACAAATACCTGTCATTGCATTGTCTTTTTTTTCCCTCTTTTTTTTTTTTTTTTTTATGGTTATGTTTGGATTCCATTTTCTCCTGAAATCTCCCAAACTCTACAGGGCTTTTTTCTCTGTTTCCTTTCTACACCAGACCATGACATTTTTGACACCAGCTTTTTGTCTAAACGCAACTTTCAGCTTCATTTCCATTGCAGGAAAAAAAAACCCAAAACCCACAAACCAAAAAAAACCCCAAAACCCTGATTGGGGAATACTAAGCAACACGGAGTTCGCTTGGAAGCAAGAAATAAAAACAGTGGGAAGAAAAACTGCTCCCTCACAGGCCTCGTGGGCAAATGGCAACTGGGAGGTTTTTAATCACTACCTTTTTCCACTGCGAGGTTATTTGTGTGTCTCCAGCTGCCTCTCAGCCTAGGCTGCCTTTGTCCAGCCAGCTGGGATTCTTTAACTTGCTGCTGATAGTGCTTAGAAGCTGAGTTAAGAGTCCTAAAGTAGCTCCCTACTCAGCCTCCTTCGTTAAATCAGCGCAGCTGCTTTTCAGGCACCGCCGAACGCCGCCGTTGAGCTGGGAGGGGAAGTGGTTTCCTTCTGAAGTGGGAGAGGAGGAGCGTGAGCCCTGATGCTTCAAAGGGAAAATGTTATTTCACCCCCATGAGCTTAACGGCGCTGTGGAAGTATTAACCCAAAACTCTGGGCTGTTGGGGGCAGAGGCAGTGTCGCTGAGTAAGCATTGGCATGCTGCAGGAGTTACGGTAGTTCAGAGAAGCCTGGGTGGCTTGGGAGCTTCTTTGGGGCTTTGGGGGCAGCCCTTAAGCAAATATGACCTTTTAAAAGCCTTTTAACTGTTTATGGAGCTGGCCTGTGAATGAGAAGAGGGAAATAGCTGGCAGCTGAGGAAAGGAGAAATTGCTGGGCAGGAAGGCTTTAATGAAACGAGGGTAGAGAATCTGCCTGTTTTTTCCTCCATTGAAGACGATGGGTGTAATAGCTTTTCTGTTCCTTCTTAGTGCTGAGGGGGTGCCAGTTGTTTAGCTCTGGCAGGTAGTGTGGTGGGTGTAGTGTTTTCAAAATATGCTTTGGATGCTCTGGTCTTCAGGTGGGAGTTAATGTAGCATTAAGTCGTAACATGGCCTGCTTTGTGAGGCTGTTCCTGCATTTGTGCCTTTGGCTGGCCAAGAATTGTGTCCATTGTCTAAAGAGTGGTTTAGCACTGTTAAGAGAGTCTGGTTTGCTGCTTTAAAACCAACCCACCCACCCACCTGCCGTGGGTGATGTGATGAGCTCTAATGGGGTTTTGTCACTGTGAGTTGCATCTATGAAGGAAGCATGGTGCTGCTGTGGTGGAAGCAACCGCAGCTGTTTGGGGACTCTGTGGATGTTGGTTTTGCTGGCCATCATGGTGCTGAGATAGCCGTGTTAAAGCTTGATGCTTTCTTGTGGCTTCTACAGAGGTGAACCAGACAATATTGCAATATACGGTGAGTAAAGGGTACGTTGAAAGAGTAATTATGAGCCTGTATAACTTTCACTTTTAGGGAAA